ACATGTGCAGGCCTGATCCCAAAGCCATGTTGTGTGTGTGTCCATGAGCAACACAGTGAGGCTCAGTCCTGCTCCCCACCACAGGATTTGATTGACAGCAGCAGCAGCCAATAACCACGCTGCTCTCACTGAGTCCAGTGAAGAAGAAGAGAGAGAGCAACGCCGCTGCTCTCATGCACAGTGCTGGATCGAGATAAGACTCTGGTAATTATTTGAGGAGCCTGGGGGGTGTGGAGTAGGGGAGCTGAAAATACAAGAGAATGCATTAAGGTAAATAACGTTCAGCCTTTACAACCACTTTAGGTCTGGTGTCCCTTGAGGCTCTATCTTGAGTGCCTTACTTTTTAGCATTTACACGTTTCCACTCGGTCAGCTGTTAAGGTCACATGGCCTCAGTTATCACTTCTTTGCTGATGGTATCCTATCCAACCAAACATATCCGTAACATAAAAACATAGGATTACCCAAAATTTCCTTCAACTAAACTGTGACAAGACTGAAATCATACTAGTGTGTTTAGGTAGGACAAAAAAAAGTTGCTTATTATTGTTTCATGGCCCTGCTACAGATAGAAAAAAAGTAATTTTTACCATCTCAAGACAGTTTTCCATTGATAATAAAACACAATCAGGAGATATCCATTACAATAACCACCAAATGAAAACCCAATCGGTCTTGGAAAAAGAAACGAGGTATAATCCACCTGGAAAAAGTACTTGCAAAGATATGTAGTTTTACTAAAACATGTCAAAGGCACTATATCAAGATCATTATTATTTAAAAAGGATACTAAAGCTCCATATGTTGGCTGCACAAAAGACTACATAATATTAATGCACAATAGGTATGTTAGTCATGATGCTGTTAGGCAAATGTAGTGTTTTAGCTTCTGCTTTAGTCAAAGAGCAGCAATTGTTCAGTATAGTCTGTCCAATTTTTTACAGGCTGGGAGTTTCTTTACGTCCCCCTGCCTCTAGAAGAAACTTCTAGAGCTTAGGGAAGATTCAAATGCCCAGCCTGAATATTTAGTAGGGCCTAGCCAATTCCTGGGAAGGTGTGCCTAGATGGTGGCTGAGCCACTGTTAAATAGTCTGGAACCCTGGGAGTTCTTGTCTTTTCCTCTGGTAGTTGGATCTGCATGCTCAAGGGAAGGGGCACTGCTTCAGGTACAAAGTAATGGCCAGAATGGAAGGACCAAGAATGGTCCATCAATCTCTGGAGCCCTGATGGAAAGATGATACAGGTCCCAGACCCAGAGTTGTATTGCCATGATCATTCATGTGCTCTACTACTCTGCCTATATGTTGTTGCAACCTATAAATGGTTTTTGTGCGGCCCACAGATTCACTGAAGTGGAACTTGACTTGCCGCACTGCTTTTGGATCTGCTAAAGGAAAAAGGTCTGTTTGTTCTTGTAGAGATTCTTCTCTGCCATTGCTCCTGAGACTGCTGGCTTTAACACCTCCAAGCCGAAATGAACTGCTGCCCGAAACAGGGGACAATGCGCCATCTTAAAATCCTTTTGACAGCTTTCTGTTGCATCTAGCAGGGGGAAGGAGTCATTTGCCCTTGTTCCTGGTCTGCCAGAATTGTTCAGTTGTTTCTCTTGCCATTAGTTCAACTGAACTGTTGCCTAAAGTAGGGGGCAACCCACCTCTGGAAATTGCTGCTGCTTTGTCGAAGCATATGAAGGGACATCCTCTGCCCTTTTCTTAGTTTGCTGGATTTTCCAAGAAGAGATTGTGAGTGACATTCTGTTTTTTCACGTGCCATTGCATATTTATTGTTTGCTTTCAAAAGTACATTAGGCTCATTGGACTTCGGACCTGCAGAGCCAATGGCCTGAATGTGTAGATCAGTGGTGTCCAACCTTTTGACTTTGGCTGGGCCACATTGGAAGAAGAGGAATTGTCTTGGGCCACACATAAAATGCACTAACAATAGGCATAGCTGATGAGCAGAATAAGTCGAGCAGATCACAAGTTAATGATCACTGAGTAAGAAAACGTTTTTTTTTTTTTTAAATTATAAAAGAAAAAGAAGGCAACATAAAACTAGTGTGATATTGGACATTGTTTTTGATAAACTAATGCATCAATATCTGGTTCAATAGATGTAGTAGAACAAATAATTCTCAAGGTACTCAGCAGATATTTTGGTTCTAATTTTGCCCTTTGTGTGCTTCATCATTGAAAATAGTTGTTCACAAATATAGGTGCTGATGAAAACTGATGACATGAATAAGGCGTGATTGTGAAGGGTGGGAGATTTTTCTTTGGGAAGATAAACCTTTCAAAAGTCCAGAAAAGAGACAGTCAAATTTTCTTCAGCCACAAGTGTCTACTAATTGTAAATGCATTTTTACAAAAAAATCCCTAAACAAAAAACATTTTAAAGTTTATGATTATGTAGTTTGCTGCATTCATGCAGTCCTGAGCAGCAAGCTGGATTCCCCTGTTCTAGAGTTTATGGCAGAAGGATTTTTGTCTCTTTTTTTCCAATAGATCTACATGCTGTAGGGTAGGGGGTGCTGTTCCTAGACCCCACCCTCCCCCTTCTTCGACTGGAAGCTGGACTACTCTGCTGGCGGTTGCATCACTGGACTGATCATTTCCAGAATCTGTGTCAAACCTGGTGTTGCCGCATCTTATGCTCCCCAGCTGCAGGAATCTAGACTACTTTACTCTATTTCTGCTACATGAGCTCAGCAAATATCCTGGTCCTCAGCTGGGAGTGAATGACTGTATTGGTGCTGCCTATAGATAGGGAAGGCTCCAATGCAGTTTGTGCATCAAGCGTTGGAGTATCGCATACCACACTGTCCTCCCAAGTTACTGGTTACTTAGCAAATAAAATTCAAAAAGACACACCTGGATTTTTTATTGAGCCTGAGTGAATGAAATGCTGCTGTGTGCCTGGCTGCCCTGCACTGATTAGAGAAAAAACCTGTGCACATCTGCAGCAGCTCCTAGGGGGGTAGTGCTATATATATTCAATTTTATTGTTGACTAGAGTATAAAAGAATTTACAAACTATAAATACCCTTTATCCAGTTTCCTATGGCTGTTCTTTTTAAAACATTTTTTTAACTCCAGATTGGGAGTGCAGGAAGGCGATAATCCTTTTTAAGTACATTATGAGAGCTGCCATTGTTTAATTGACTCGATTTTCCCTAAACAGCAAGCTTGTACCAGGTTAGTGGGTCAAAATTGAATTCAGGATGAGACAGGAAATTAGTATTTTCAGAAGGAATTGCATAATGGCAGCCTCAATATTTTTCTCAGTACAGGTTTCCTTTAGGATTTGTAATCCACACTCTCAAACTGGAGCTGAAGAATGAAAAAGGGCTTAAAGAAAGCTGCCTGAAACTTGTTAAATGCTTCATGAAGCTGATGCTCTTTAGGCTAGCATTAACAAGTTATGACTAAATAATTCCTAATTGTATAAGGCTCAAAAAACAAACATGCAATAATGAGAAACATTCTGATCAAGTACAATCGTAAAACATCACTTTCTGAAACATACCCGAAGGGACTTCTTTCTCAGGCCACGGATGCTTTTCTTCTGAGCAGACGTTCATAAAGGACCTGCATGCGGGGCTTGGCTGATTGTAAGGATGGCACACATATGTACTAATTACACACCTTTTATATCTGTGCTTTACGACTTAACTTGTGTTAGTGAAAAGTCAGACAGCAAGTAAGAGGAGATCAGTCAAGTAAAGCACAGACAGCTAGTAGAGCTAGTAGACAGAAGATTTTTCTATGATGTACATTGAGACTTTTGGATTTAGTGCACTCCAGTCAGACTAGACAGGATATTACATTGTCAATCAACACAAGACCTTTCTAGAAGGTTAACATGCCAAAATTATGAAACTCATCAGATGAAGATCAGTTATTTCTTTTTATGCAGTATTGTGAAGTTATGGTTATTAGACACAGCAAGACAAATGTACATCATATAACAAAGCAAGGGAAAAGAAGGATAAAAAAAAAGATACTGATAAACTAGTAACTACAGAAAAAAAGAAGAAAGTACTTATATGCACTATACTAACATTCCATGATGTGTAAAAAAAAATTGATCAGTAGTGCTTGTTAAAAGCATACAGGGACACTGTAGACAGTTATCTTGAAAAAATGCTCAGCAACTATAGCACATTGTTAGTAATTAGTATAAAATGATCAGCACCAATGTTCCAAAACCACTGATTATTTTCAGCTCTAGCCTAAAAAATATTCAAGTAACATTATAAGAAAGTAACTACTACAACATCACATATATACATATAGCAAGCGTAGCTTCATACACACACTGAAAAAAAATTACTGACTATAACCCTTGGTGTGGTATGCAAAACACCTATAATATTAATTACTTAGCTCTGGTGCAAGTAACATAAAGCAGAACTACACCCTCCTATTCTTTACAGCCAAGAAAGCTGCAATCTTAGCCTGTTTGATCTGCAGCTGCCATAAAGCTGCACATGTGAACAGTTTATGACATCAACCACCTGATGGCTTGAGAACTGTTACGGTCATCATCCACAGCATGTCTTGAATGTAAACGTTTTGGGAAACCATTAAATTAATGGGTTTAGTTCCGCTTTAAAGTGGAACTAAAACCATTAATTTAACGGTTTTAAAAAACAGTTACATTCCCAGCATGCCAACTGTCACATTTGCTTGTGCTGTCAACCAAACTATCAAACGGCTGGTGTCATAACTGATCACATGTGCAGCACCATGGCAGTGCAAATCAAACAGAGGCTAAGATGGCAGCTTCCTTGAGAGAAAAGCATAAGAGGGTCTAGTTCCACTTTAAATCCGTTAAATAAGATTCTACATTTTACAGACTGGAAAGATAAAAAAAAGGAAAGTGTTCTAGGTTTATGATAGAGATACTTATTGGTCCAAGAAACCAGAAGAAAAGGAAAGTAATAAAAAAAGTTGATCGCAAAAGTGTAGTGTAGATGTGTTTGGCCATTTCATACTTACCCAGCTCCAATTTAAGGGAGGAAGGTAACTCTTTTGTTACAGTCATGAAATAGCTGTATAATCCCTTAAATGATACCAGCAAACAGGCACACAGTGTATAATGAAAGTTGTAGGCATGTTGTAGGAAACATTCTTGAACCACAAAGCTGTTACCCTAAAAAGAAAGGCAGACATCAGCAGCTTGCAGCAAATGCAAATGATACAAACCTGGTAAAATTTAGAGGCTTTATATATGTATTTATCAACTAAAATTTACCAAACAGTAATTCATACTCCAGTGAAATCACACCTGTGGTACTTCACATTCTGACTAGAAACACCAGTCCTGTTCCAATGATGTCCAGGATGATGAAAATGGCTGTGCCTAGCACGAATCATGTCAGAATGTAATTTGTTCCTGCTGGCAATTTTAGTAAAGGAAGAATATTTTGCATCTCAGTGTGCGGCCTTGCTGTTATTGATACAATTGATTGCTTCAGTGGAAATGATCTGAGCCAGCACAGATGTGACTGTAGAGCCTGATCTTGCCTGGAGCATCATGTGAAACATCTAAGTACTCTCAACATGTTGATGTTCTGGTACAGCAGAGGGCTCCTCAATTACCTGGGGGTTGTTTTCTCAGGGCATTACCCAATATCTCCATAGCAGTACATGGTTCTCTAGCAAAGCCAACTTTGGTTACACCAATGATGCATGCTTATCCATGAAAAATAAACTGAAACACTGAAGCATCCTATCAAAGGCATGGAAGATGGGGCATTTTAATGTTAAACAAAATCTGTTGTCGAGAAATACGCATGGTGCCATTACATACTTATTTTCATAAGTGCAAGCTCTTGCACTGCCTTCCTCACTGAGCTGTTATCCTTAAAAACATACCATCACTCTATCCAGGACAAAGTGACAGTGTCTGCAACCCTCCTGATACTCACCTTTCCATCACTCCTGCCCTGCTTCTCTTTGCACTGCTTCAGCTGGTGAAAATATCTGATGCTCCCTGTATGAGGCAGCATGTGACGACCTCTGATGTGACAGTGTTCAGATCTAGCAGCCAAATCCTAAGCCTAAGCACTGTCACAAGACCCAAAGGTGGGATGTCACCGCTCCCTCTGGTGTTTAACACCAGCTGACATTGGGGAATTTAGTGCTGGCTGCGACATAGGAAGGGGTGGGAGAGGCGCTCTGACAAGGCAAGTATCAGTAGGTTGGGAAGGAAAGGGGGGGGGGGGGGGGGGGGTGGGGGCACTTTGAACAGACACTTTCACTCTAACCTGATTGGACACAGTTAACAGTGTCTTTTTAACATTGCTTCACTATCTTGTTAGACAATCATTTGGACCATGCACACAGCACAGGTGTCTTGATACTTCACTGGATACTTGCTTATTCCAGGAGAGTTAGCTGATTATGTTAAGTGTGGAGGGAAGAAAGGAGCAATATCTATATGACAGTTTGTCTTTACTATGACAACCAGGAGACAGTGGTGCAGTGTTCAGAGAAAACCATATGCAGGAAAATATTGTGGAGAATGGGGGATGCCATACTGAAACACAAAAGCGATGCCCATGCCCCAGCCAGAGGGCTCAGATTTAAGAAAGTGAAAACACAAGGCATTGAAGAGAGTTTAGTGCTCAAATACTGAGAGGGGGGGGAGATTTATGTGAACACGCTCAGATTTGATGGGTTCTGGTGCCAACCTACTGTAGACATTGTGGTGAGAGCTTCCAGAGAAAGTTATGAGGAAAGCTGGGAAAAGCTGCCAAAGAATGTAATGTAGACAATGGGAAGCAGATAGCAGTGGGTGGCTACAGCAGATTGAAAGCCGGGCGGGACACACTTCCTTCTGAGTGGACGTCTTAAGACATCCTGTCAGAAAGTGCCGCTCATGTGGCCGTGCAATCTGTCACCGGCTGTGTCCACGGGACACAGCTGATGACAGATCACTACACTGGCTCGCTACCAGTGTCATGTGACCGCTGTGACCAATCACAGCAGATCACATGACAATTGCATACAATGGATGGCTTCCTTTCATGCCGTCCATTGTATACAATTGTGTTGTTAGCTGTGATTAGTTACTCCGGTCACATGGTACAGACAGAGCCAATCACAGCTCATCTGTACCATGTGATGAGCTTTGCTCAATCACAGCTAATCACAACAAAAGACAGAATTAATCAGTTTCATTAACCACTTGCCCTCCTGAGGATTTACCCCCCCTTCCTGGCCAGGCCATTTTTGCGTTACGGCGCTGCATTACTTTATCTGACAATTGCGCGGTCATGGAATGCTGCACCCAAATGACGTTTATGTCCTTTTTTCCACACAAATTGAGCTCTCTTTCGGTGGTATTTGATCGCCTGTGCGTTTTTTATTGTTTGTGCTATAAAAAAAATAAAGACAGACAATTTTGAGAAAAAAAAACAATATTTTTGACGTTTTGCTTCTAAACCTGTCCAGTGAAAAAACTTTAATAAAGTTAGGCCAAAATGTATTCTGCTACATGTTTTTGCTAAAAAAATCCAAATCCATATAAATTAATTGGTTTATGTGAAAGTTATAGTGTTTGCAAATGGCGGTATAGATGCTGCAATTTTTATTTTTACTAGTAATGGTGGCGATCAGCAACTAATATCGGGACTGCGACAGGCATTCTGACATCCCCAGTGACACCAATAGTGATTAGTGCTGAAAAAAAAAGAAGCACTGACACTGTACTAAGCCACTGGGCAGGAAGGGGTTAACATGTGGGGCAATCAAAGGGTTAACTGTGTGCCATTTCACTGTAAGCTCTGTGTGTGTGTGCTTCACTGTAATCACACTTCTCATTCAAAGCAGTGTACAGGAGCTGACAGCGAGAAGAACTGTATTATTTACATACAGTTCTCCTCCCGCTCTGCAATCACTGGGCGCCGGCGAGTAATCAACAACCAAGAGCGGGTGACTGACAACAATGGCCGTGAATGATGGCGTGGGTAGGGTGCACGCTTCCCTACCCAGAAATGCAAAATCACGTATATAAACACATACGATTCTGCGCACTCGTGCCGCCCTGTAGCAGTATATCTGCTATAGGGTGGTCGGGAAGCGGTTGCTAATATCAATGGTGGTTGCTAATATCAATGAAATAACACTGGTATTAGCAATCATAATGTGTAAAAGAAAAATCCTGATCACTTGCCCAGAGTAGTACAATGTTACTATGGTAGCATTGTATTGCTCTAGTCACAGTGTGTTGAAAAAAAAAAAATATGTAACAAAATTGTGTGATATAATTTTTTTTATAAATTTCTTCATTTTGCAAAAAATTACAACTTCAAAAAACTCACCATGCACTAAATACTTTGGACTGTCTATTTTCCAAAAAATGGGTCATTTGGGGGATATTTGTACTATCTTGGCATTTTCAGGCTTCAAGAAATGAGATTGGCCGTCAGTGCATCAGAAATGTAGTAGAATACATTTTGACCTAAATTTATGAAGAAAGGTTATTTTTTTTGCAAAATTTTAAAATAGAAACAAAGAAAAATGCAGGTTTTTCTTTTTGTTTATTTAGCAAAAAATAAAAAACCCAGAGGTGATTAAATACCACCAAAAGAAAGCTCTATGTGCTAAAAAAAATTATAAAATGTTTTTATGGATACAATGTTATATGACCGCGCAATTGTCAAAGTGTGACAGTGCTGAAAGCTGAAAATTGACCTGGGCAGGAAGGGGGTAAAAGTGCCTGGTATTGAAGTTGTTAAAGTATATCTAAACCCATGAACAAAAATATAGTATATTGCAGCTTACTAGTCCTTAGATCTTGGTGGCTGCATGAATTTACTTTTTTTCAGGACAAATATAGTTTTGTCAAATACAGAAATACAGTCCTGTGTACTGAACGGAAATATTAAACAATATTTTCAGCCTTCTCAGTTCTTTTCTGTGAACTACAGAAACCTGCTCCTGTGTTATAGAAATAAGGAAACGAAAAGGTGTTTGTTTAAATAGGGAGCGCAACCTAAGGTGACAACACTACTCCGCCATAGATAAAATATGGTTAGTGTTGTCACTCTAGGGTAGAAAGACATTGAGTGTGGGGATGGGGGGAATTTAGTCTTTTTGGGAGGGCAGTCTTTTTTTTTTTCATTCAAACCTACTGGTTAAATGAAAAAAAAAATGACTCGTCTATGAGCTGCTTTACAAATGCTGTGATCAGTTGCACAAAGTAATAAGTTTTATCTGGTTCTTACATCTGCAGACAGCTGCTTAGTGTAGTTACTGCCAAACACTACACTTTCCAGGGTGGGGATTGAAGATTCTTTATTCTGGGTGGGAGCATTTCTGTTCAACCAGGTATTCTTCATTGCACGGTGAAAGCTGATAGAAGCAAAACAGTAAGAATTTAATATCATGTTTAGAACAGTAAGGTCACAACATGAAAGAACTTAGAGAAACTAATTACCTGCTAAAGTAAGCTGAAGCAATCCATGAACATCTTTAACAATGCAACTGCCTATCCTAACAACAAGATTATTAAGTTGATAATATTTAGATGGCCAGAACCAATGACCAACTCACAACCTGTAGGAACAGGGGTAGGCAACCTTAAAGAGGTGGAGATCTACGTGAACAATATGGCAGAAGTCAAAGATCACCGAGTACAGTGTAGTGCTGTGTCGCCTCTTCACACCTGATTTAAACCTCTAATTGCCAACTACCATGTCGCAATTGCGTGCATAGTGCGGCAACCATGGGTTACATCAGGTGGAGAGTAGGCAACATATTGCCTCCTCACCACCTGTCAGGCTCAGATCTCTTTTTAGAGGAGCAGCAGTGCCTGCTGTACTTGTGAATGAGCTGAATTCGGCAGCGGCACCCTTAGGGCTCGTTCACAAGTAAAGTTGGGGGTGTTAAAACCCTGCAGTTGAGTCGCAGTTTTACTGCCCCAAATCCATATCCCCTTTAGCTGCTAAGGCAGCAGCCAAAGGTGTACACATGGCTGGAATTAAACCCCCTGTTTTTGGTGGGCGCTACCACCTGCAAATTGCAACTTGCACAAGTAAAAGGAGACACTCTGTAAGAGCCCTGCAACTGCATGCTTATGCAGAGTCCAAGGGGATAAAGCAGGTGATGAGAAAGCAACACTGCCTGTTTTATCCCCTTCATTTAGGAGTTTTCGTGTACCTTCAGAAAGTGCACCAAACCCTCAGGATATAATAGACGTCTATGGCTAAGCACAGTAAACTCGCAGGAATGCTGCAGGTACATTGCACTGCACCTGTGGTGTGAGTAAACCTCAGTGCATCAGTGTGGAAACAGCCCTATGTTATTATACCCAGTGTATTGCTTCACACTAAACTGAAGGCCTCTTCTTTCCTGCTGCTGGCACCACTCTGGAGACCACTAGCTGGGATAAAAGAGTGCAGTTGGTATCACTTCGAAAGGGACAGGAGCCAGCAATATCGAGGAGGCATCAGCTTATGTGGTTCTTGCTCCCTATTACAGTTCTGACTTTACAAGTAGTCCCTCTGCATTGCACTCTGTCTGATGCTCAGGGATGGTGGAACAGCAGGCCCTGACCGTGATCCACCAGTTACCTGATCGTGATCTACAGGTTGCTGACCCCCGCTGTAGAATATTTATCATACTGTGCTCAACTTTGAAAGAACAACATTTTTCAAGGAGAAAAAGGGCTAGATGATAACCTGACTCCAAATATATATTTGGAAAACATTTATTTTAAACAGAGTCACATTTACAACAGATAGAACGGTGTAGAACTTTAGATAGAACTTTCTGATATTGTTATATAATTGTGTTTGAAATTTCAACAGGAACATTCTAACATACTGCTGCTTTCTTCACACTCTTCTTTATATAATGTACACCCACCATACCCTCTGGCACTCATATCTTGCACATATCATGCCTGACCTAGGAGTGACTGATTTAATATTATTCAGTTGATGCTCTTTGTGTTCTAATGAGGAAAGCTGCAGTGTTGGCATCCCTTTAGAAGTGATTAACCCTTGGGGAGTATCTTACCAAAACTTACATTTTTATTGTTGGGAGTCCTAAAATCTGACTTTTATCGGTGAGCAAATCACACAAGAAGGAAATGATATTTGAAAGCATCTGTACACCAACTGTATAGAGAAGGCCTCCAGGTTGCCATACTGCATTGAGTTTTACAGAAAACGACTACGCTTCAGATTGAAAAGGAAAGGTAATTTTTAATAACTTAATGAGTAACTCCACTTTAAGAAAAAAACAATCCCCCTGAGTGATCTATGTACATTGAAGGGACTATAACTTTGTTGCAGATTCTTACCTTTTGTTATTCTGAACAAATAGTTGTTTGTTTGTGTCCATGTGCAAAGTGAATGTGAGCAATTTTTTTTCCTTATCGATTGGCTGCTGCAGGGTTCTAATGAGAGTGACAGGGTCTGCATCCCTTTAGAAGTGATTTATTCTTTGGGAGTATGTAAACACAACTGAAAATCATTCATTTTCTCTAGTGCAAGCCCTAACCATCTTTGTTTCAGGGCTTTAGATCATAGGAACACGACAAGCTAAAAATTCCAACAAATGTATTTCTCCGATTAACAAGAAAAAAAAAATTACCTGATGAGCGGTTGATGCAAAGCAACCAAAGAACCATGAACTACAACAGATATGACTGAGAGGTGAAAGTAATCAAACATTAAATTAATGTGGTGATGAAGGCCTCTATGTAGGTTAAAGTGCAACTTTAAATTTCGACTACTAATTAGTTGCAAGGCGTTCAGGTCATTTGGTCTGAAAAAGAGAAGGGGAATTAAAAAAAAAGTCACAAATCGAATGAATACATTGTAAAGGGTACTGTAGGAGAAATGTAATTCCATGACTTGAAGGCAATAGAGAAAGGAAAAAACTTCAAACTTAGATGACCACATAAACCAACAAGTTGGCTTGCTGGGCTGTAAAACCTTTTTATATCCACTGTACAACTGCACCACAGACTTTTACATGCAGTCAATCATCCTGCCCTCTATCACAATTAGAGAAACATTCATTCTGAAGAGGGGTGCGGCTAAGACTGTTTCCTGAGTGATAAGTCCCCAAATTGTGTCTGGGTTTGTTGGGAGGACACAGACCGTGCTTGCAGACTTTTGGTATGTGTAGGTCATCATTGTACATAGGATGTGTGTAGCACATCCAGTCTCTCTGCCTGTTTGACAGGACCCCAGGACCCCCCTTCCCCCAATAAACAACTATGTAAGCTTTAATTAATCAAAGTCAGCATGACTGTACACAGAAAAGATCGCTAGCATCAGCTGTCAAGAAAAAAAAGCAGCCCAACAGTATTTATAAAGAACACTTGCTCAGATGCTACAGAAAAATACAATGTAACATATTGTTATTTGTAAGTTATTCTGTTTATTCATCTGCAGATCATAGGGATAAACTTCAATCTGCAGCTGTCAGTAAAGCAACCTGACAAGTTTTAAAAAAAAAAAAGTTTTTAAAAGATAAATAAAAACTGTTTAACCCTTTATTAAAACTTAGTTTACCCTAATCATCGTTATTTTCTATTTTATTAACCTTTAATATTTAAATTTTGTTTGTTTGTTAATATTTTTACACCTTTCACATATATATTTATACATTTCACATTTTAAAAAGCACAAAATAAAAAAAAAAAAACTTTCATTTGTAAATAACTTTGTAATATGTACCAGAATAATCATTTTTGTGTAATTTAAAACAGGACAAAATTACAAAATAAAATGTGCACTTATCTGCAGTACCACTAAACTAACAGTGCTTGAAAAAAAAAAATCATTGTTGCAAGACAATATCACAAAATGAAAACTTTGTTTGTCTCCCAAAAATTAAAGGAATACTTTGAAAACACATCACATCTCAATGAGGAAAAATATCATGCTGGATATCTCTACTGATATGGACTGGGTAATGTGTTAGGAACCTAAGGATGCCCCATCGTTTGATGGAAATGAAAATGATCAACCTATAGAGGACTGAATTCAAAGACACCTTGAAAATCAAAGTGAAAAAAATGATGCAGCAGGCTAGTCCATTTTGCTGAAATTCATTGCAGCAACTCAAAATGGTACTCAGTAATTTGCAGGGCCCCCACGTGCTTGTATGCATGCCTGACAATGTTGGGGCATGCTGCTGAGATGACGGGTGGTGTCCTTGGGTATTTCCTCCCAGATCTGGACCAGGGCATCACTGAGCTCCTGGACAGTCTGAGGTGCAACTTTGAGGCGTCAGATGGATCAAAACAGGATATCCCAGAGGTGTTTTATTGGATTTAGGTCAGGCGAACTTGGGGGCCATTCATCCTTCAGGAGTGCCTGCATACCCTTGCCACATGAGGTCGGGCATTGTCGGCACCAGGAGGAACCCAGGACCTACTGCACCAGTGTAGGGTCTGACAGTGGGTCCAAGGATTTTATCCCAATACCTAATGGCAGTCAGGGTGTCATTGTCTAGTCTGTAGAGGTCTGTTCATCCCTCCATGGAAATGCCTCCCCAGACCATCACTGACGCACCACTAACACGGTCATGCTGAACAATGTTACAGGCAGCATAATGTTCTCCATGGCTTCTCCAGACTCTTTCATATCTGTCACATGTGCTCAAGGTGAACCTGCTCTCATCTGTGAAAAGCACAGGGCGCAGTGGCGGACCTGTCAATTCTGGTGTTCAATGGCAAATGCCAATGGAGCTCTATGCTGCCGGGCAGTGAGCACAGGGCCCACTAGAGGATGTCGGGCCCTCAGGCCACCCTCATGAAGTCTGTTTCTGATTGTCTGGTCAGAGACATTCACACCAGTGGCCTGCTGAATGTCATTTTGTGGGGCTCTGGCAGTGCTCATCCTGTTCCTCCCTGCACAATGGAGCAGATACCGGTCCTGCTGATAAGTTAAGGACCTTCTATGGCTCTGTCCAGCTCTCCTAGTGTAGCTTCCTGTCTCCTGGAATCTCCTCCATGCTCTTGAGACTATGCTGGGAGACACAGCAAAACTTCTGGCAATGGCATGTATTGATGTGCCATTCTGGAGGAGTTGGACTGCCTCTGCAACCTCTGAAGGGTCCAGGTATCGCCTCATGCTATCAGTAGTGACACTGGCCCTAGCCAAATGCAAAACTAGTGAAAAACAGTTAGAAAAGGTGAGTAGGGAAAAAATGTCAGTGGCCTCCACCTGTAAAACCATTCCGGTTTTGGGGGCCGTCTCATTGTTGCCCATCTAGTGCAGCTATTGTTAATTTCATTAACGCCAAACCAGCCGAAATTGATTAACAACCCCCTCTGCTATTTAACTGACCAGATCTATATCCCAGGAGTTTCATTGACTTTATGCTATACTCTGATTAAAAAGTGTCCCTTTAATTTTTTTGAGCTGTGTATGTATGTATTACCTTGCTATCTTAAGTAATAACAAATTTATCAAAGAACAAACAGGTCCAAATCAGAAATTTAAAAATGGCTCTGGTCCATAGGGGTAAACAGGTGTCAGAGGTGAAGTGGTTATGTAATTTGTGTAATAGGGGTATAGGTAATACACAGTGAAGAGTCTCTGGAGAGAAACTGGAGACTGTGCCATGAGATGACTACCGGAGGACCAATGTGTGCTCAGGGTGGAATCTCTATGGGAAAAAACAATGTGGGTACTCCTGGTGGAGTCTCACTGCTAGAGGATGCCCTGTTCAGCTACATTTAAGACTGGAGGCATAAACCCTCAGTGACAAATTAAAAAGGGACAGTGGAACAAAAGCCTTAAAATAATTAAGGAAGATGAGGATAGGTAACCAATGTAAGTGGACCTGTGGTGTCAAGTTTAGTTATTAACATCTCAAAGACAGAAATTTGTTCCTGCTGAAAACATAAGGAAAAATGGGCAATTTACATGTACATGCATGTAGATTATCCTACAGTGTGGTCTGGTAAATATATTGCATGTAAATTTGGCATTTTCTTTTACTTACGAATAATCAGTGTCTGTAAAATGCAGGTCAATGGAAAGTTGAAACACCATCTCATTTAATGTTTCCTCAATCTGTAAATAAAGAAAATAATGACATAAATATTGGTAGTTACATTGAATGACTAATGGAATTGTTAATGTGTAATACCATTACCTTCCTTTCATCCAGGAGCATCTTGATTTTAAAATTCATTACATCATTAACTGCAACCTCCTCATTTTTGTATAATATTTGAAATATTTTACTGCAGACTACAGTATCTTGCACCGAAGCTGGAAAGGCTAGATCATCACCTAAAAGGGGGAAAAAAAAAAAAAATCACAAGACAAAAATTTCACTTAAAAAAAAAAAAAAATCACTGCGAATAGAGGAGACTTAAAGCTGAACTTCACCCAAAAGGAGCAGTTCATTTCTTCCTCATAACCCCCCTCCTCATCCCCTCCCCTTCTCCTTCACATTTGGCACATATTTTTTTTATGGGGGAGGAGTGGGTACCTGGTTTTGACAGGTTGGATTACCACGTCATTCCAAACAAAAATTCTTCCCCCCTCCTTCACCTCCAGGCCACCCAAATAGTGCAGTGTGGCTTGTGCAAGTGCAGTGAGCAGCCAGCTGTGAAGCTGCAAGCAGTCACAGCCGGCTGACCACACTTAATATGCTTGCACCGGGGACCAAAGCCCGGTGAAGAAACCTGCTAGGTGATGACAGCACTGGATCCTGAGACAGGCGAGTGTCTAAGCATCAGCAGCTATAGTTTTTGCAGCTGCTGATTAATTTTTCAAAAGGTGACTGAAGAACTGCTTTAAATATTGTACAGCGCTGAGCAAACCCTTGCGCTATATAAATGTAGTAGTAATAATAAATAATAATAATAAATGAAGTGACATCAATTTCATCAGAGGGTCAAAGGGTGAGTGCAGAAGAGGGTTAATTCTAAACTGTAAAACAAGTTTATGATCAATACACACAATATATACAGGTACTCCAGATTAGTAAAGCCAGCTTCTCCGTAGAGAGTCCTGCTCTCCAAATCCAGAGCAGTTACACAAGCTCCTCCACCAGCCTCCAAAGACTTCTCACTCAGATGCAACAACAGTAGCACATACAAAGCAAAAGAAGGGAAGAGCTCCCCTCCAGGGCACAGCTACTAATCGGAAATACCTGGAGGAGTTTCCATGCCATCTATGACATTTCTGGAGCTCTTAAAAGCTAACAGCATTTAAGATCACTGTTTGCAGGGGGTCATAATCCTCCAGTAAGCAGATTTATAATCACAGGGGAGTGGCATGTGTGCAGTTGTTATTCATCTCCATTTGGATTTGATGCACCTTTCAAGCACCACAGAGATGTTTAGGGAATTTCTTGGCAATCCCTATATATAAATGCCACAATAAATATCACTTAATGTATTTGTTTTTTTTTTTAGCACCAATATTTGCACTCTCACTGAGTATGTGTTTACATGAATTAATTTATATGCACTAATTAGGTCACTTTATTCTCATTTTGTTCATGATGTATTAGCACAGATTATTATATTAGATATTTGTATTTGAGTGGTTTTATTGCCATATATGCTCGTTACATATCACATGCAGACACACCACCTGCTCTTTAATGCTTTCTCAGCGCTTTAAGCACAATTTTCTACATTGCCTGATTCTTCCTATGAACACCTTTATAGTGAAAAGGTAGAGGTGACAATTCCTAAAAGACTCAGGGTTTTATACCATCACGTAGCCTAAAGTAAGCTGCACACGTTCTTTACATTTTTCTTGCAATCATGGTTGGCCACTTATTAATGTTGATAATCTCACACAGTAACAGTTATTGTACGGCACTACTAAGCAAGTCTATATGTGTAAATATGGATGTCTGTCAATGTACCTTCTCCCATAAACACACACACTAATTTTGCCAGTGTAAATGTTGGATCAAAAATCAGATTGGTTGCTAAGAGCCATATTACAGATTTTGTTCAGGAAAATATTCCACTTATACTAAAGCAAGACATTTATTTTGAATACAGTTTTAATGTACATTAAAGGCAGTCTGTGACAAGTTAAATACGGAGGAAACAGAAGCATTATGTACCTGTAAAAAGAGGACAAATTCATATTATGCAAATGACATTAGTTCTCTACAAACGATCCCAGAATGAACTGAGCTCACATTCAGCATATACGGTATGTAAAATATACACAATTTATAATCAGAGCGTTTAGATCTAAACACTACAAATGTTTAGGTGGTGATTTTTTTTTAATTTGCTAGTTAGAAATTATCAAAAAAACAAAAACAAAAAAAACCAAACAATCTGACTTTTACAGTGTTCACTGGACAAATACATGTAGCCCTAATCATTCTGCATATTAGAGAATTTGAAACACTGGGCAACTGTATGAAATCAATCTCATATTTTAGAGAAAGTATAATGTATATTGTAGAATGTACATATTTTGAGTTGTCATTGCAGCATTTATCCTATGCCAATTTTTGATAACTATCACTTTTTAAATGCTTACTGTTTCGGTATTTTGTTATCTGTACTAAGAAAATATGAAGAATGCTTTACAGGTCTTCTTCTGAAAATACTGTATCTGGCTGTCTTTGACCCAAATAGTTTATGAGGAGTTATTGACCTGGAACTACTAAAGCCAGAACTCCTGATGTGCATACTTATTCCAGGTTAGTGACAAAGTATTGAGGCCAGAAACAGCCAGGAAAAAATTATAGAAGCCATGGGATTAACCACAAACAGCCAGGTAACCAGCATTTCCAAAGGAAGATCGATAAGAGCAACAGCACAAATTTGAGATAAAATAGTCCTTTAAAAAAGGGAGGAGTTGGTGTCAATTGGTGTGAATTGGAGTCAGCTGATGCAGTAAGGTACAAAGATAGTGTAGCACCGCACAATGCAAAATCTTGAAAATACACAGCTATAAAAAAAAATAAAAATGTATATGTACTATATAAACAAACACACACATAAAGCATTAAAAAAAACAAACATACAATGTATGCTTGTAAAAGAGCAAACTGATCTCTTTTACTTATATTTAAAAAAAACAAAAAACAAACATATTTCCTATAAACATAAAGATGCTCAAAAGATGATTGGATAAAGACAATTGATGGATAGATGGGAAGCTGATGTTCACAATGCCTATAAAATGTTCTGTAATTAAAACCTAATCTTTATATCATCTTCCATAGTCCAAGTAGAAACTGTTAGGATAGATTAAATCAGCATATGCAAAGTGCAGAATTCAACAGACAAACGATAGGTTGTGTTTTCATTAAAGAACAGAATGCAGACATCATCTTGAATATCATTTTCATGCTTCATTGAGTTGGAAGTCCAAAGAATGCAGCTGCCTAGGGTTAGCTGGATGTTTAGCATTCATACTTTTACAAGATATGTGCCTCAGGCTCTGAGAAATCCTGAACAAGGCCAGCATCATTCACCCTCAACAATGGCCAAACCATGAATGTCTGCCATATGTTACTGATGTCCATACTATTTCTGGGATTTACTGCTTCACATGCCTACTCTTTTACAGCAAGTGCAAGTTCTAAAATTAGAGTATTGTGTGTAGGATCATGTACTGGTCGACCTCTCTTCAATTAAATATAAAAGCATTGCTACTTGTCGAAACATAGAAAAGGCAGTTGCCAGAGGCTTATATTACTTTCTGTGTGGATAGTGGTGGGGTCTCTGTGTGTACAACTCTCTCGGTTATCCCATGCAGTGACAGCTGTGCTATTACTGATTGAGGCCTACCCTTAGGGCCACTGGCATGAAAACAGGAGAAGACTTTTTGTTAACAACAAACAGATTATATGCCAGAGAGAAAATAGCATTGCAGCAGAAGCAACAGGTCAGACAGCTAAAATTAATTGATCAAGATCCCTGTTTTACTGTCTTTTTGACAAATGAGCTGAGCTGCGCCTTCCACACCTTACTTTTACAAGGCAATACTACTACTGACATATTGTATCCTCACTGCAGATCGTGATGACTTATTTGTTAGGATGATCTCAGCACTCAGCTTGCAGTTGCGGATGCTGTTACGCTTTCCATCAGGCTTAGGAGGAGACAAGGAAATTCATAGATACCCTTTAGAATTCTGTAAGTGTACAGCATTGAAAGTGTTGGTGTTTACTCCTGATTCATGTAATTGTCACAGACAGGTACATGAGACTGTCCGCATCTGCACGGAGGTCAGAGTGTTCACACTGGACACTGGACTGGACTCCTTACTCAGTGCACTCACTCCTGTCACATTGACAAATTCAAGGCTGAGGAGTTTTGTACAGGGGTGGGCACACCCTAATAGAGAACCTGAGAGACTAGTCCCTCATGAGGTCCATTTACTTTTGATTGACAGCGTATGGCAGGGGGCAGATACGTAGCCTCTATTTAGTCCGATAGCGGTTTTCCACAGCTACAAGTTCTTTGGAATGACTTGAATTTGCCACACGATTCAGTTATGTTACCAACATGTTAGCGTTTTGAATTCCCCTGACTGTATGCAAAGAAAGCATCGAGTTTTCAGTACAGATGGACAGCAAATCACATCGCACACACGATAATATAGTATATTTCCCCTAAATACTATAGGCACTTAAAAAAAATAATTAAACTGAACTGATCATCTGGCATATTTGTTTTTCCATTATGGTTTTTTTTTGTTTTGTTTGCATAATCCTTACAAGATCAAAACAGATCAAAAGCTTGACAAGGAGCACAGCTACCATGGGAAATTACTTTAACGGACTAAAAAAAAAAATATTTTAGAAGATCATTCACAATTTGCTGGTACATTAAGTGGTCTGACAGATACTTAAAGGCTTTGTTCTCCATTTTTTTTTCCGAATTCCAGCTCCCCTGTGTACCAATATAGCATTAATGTACTTCTTTTGCATAAATAAATTAGCTTTCCATTTATTCTACACACTCATACCTCCAGGGTCTACATGGCTGTATAAAAAAACTTCTCCATTACTTCTGCCTTATTTCCTGCAGAGATTTTAGGTTATGACACAGTAAGAGTTGACCAGCTGACCTCATTAGCACACACTCTGCATCATCTACACTCCTACCTACCACCCACTTCTGTTTTTAAATGAAATGCCATCAATCAGTGATCACTGTTTTCGCTAAATACTGAGGCATTGATTTTTTTTTTTTTCTACCTCAACTTTCATCTTACATAGAACATTCATTTGGCAGAGTATGTGGATGAAGCTGTAGTACTGGAAACAGGAGAAGTGTGTTCTGTAACGGTCACCATACAATGTACAATCTGATTGTACAATCTCCTTTAGATCTACCATCAACTATGTAGGTCAAGGGCCTGCCTGTATATGTATGGCCACCTAAAATTAACTAGTTAAGCTTTTGGTGCTATTAACAGTAAATGGCACACTAAACACAGAAGCAAACAAACATTTTGCCATGTGAAAAAAGGAATGGCAAATGTAGCACAGTACAAAATGCACAAATCCACAACATGCCAAAATGTCCCATGTGCCATATGTACTGCAGCCCATTGTAATCAAAGGGAAGTGATTGTTGCATGTAGGGCAGCCCATCCAAAAAAAAAAAAAAAAAAAAGCGCATGCAGGAACGTGAGTTCCCGCTATGCAGAGATAGGAACGGGGCTTGACAGCTGAGTGGCTCCATCTCCCTCCTCTGTACTTGTATGAAGATGGCAACAGACTATGCAATATGATCTACCCATTCACTCTGTATCCAATCAGGGAGACCCTTGCACTACATAGTTGATGGTAGATCTAAAGAAAATTGTACAATCAGATTACATAGTGTATGGTGAACCTTACAGAACCCACTTCTCCTGTTTTCAATACTACAGTTATCCACAGAAGCTGTTATCTGATCGACAACACACTCTGCCAAATGAATGATCTATGCAAGATGAAAGTTAAGGTAGAAAAAAAAAAATGATGCCTGTGTATTTAGTGAGAACAGTGATCACTGATTGATAGCACCTGAAAGTGGGTGGTAGGTAGGGTAGATGATGCAGGGGGTGTGCTAATGAGGTCAGCTGGTCAACTCCTTCCTGTGTCATGACCTAAAATCTGTCCAGGAAGCAGCAGACAAGTAATGGAGAAGTTTTTATACAGCCATGTGGACACTGGAGGTAAGGGTGTGTAGAATAAATGGAAAGCTTTTGTATTCCTGCAAAAGAAGTACATTAATGCTATATTGGTACATAGGGGAACTGGAATTTAGAAAAAAAAAAAAAAGGTGAAAAGTAGCCTTTAAAGAAGTAATGTCATATGTTTTAATACTTCCCCCTTCTGAATTACTGCCAGGATAAAAACTGCATCTAACATTAACACACCATTTAATAATGCTGACCTTGTGAATCACGTACCTGTGACACGCAAAAGGCTTGCTTCAATTTTGTGTGGAATACGGGGAGGAATTTTCATGGAAGCTCGAAGCTGATAAAATCTAAACAGGGACAAAAAAAGGAAACTGTAAAAATCAACAGAATTCTCATTTCCCTAATAGGGAAGCACATGGTCTGATGTTCTTCTGGTCAGCATCAGTGCACGGCACAGCTCTATGGCTAGTGAAGTACTATCAATTTCTACAAAGAGCTATGAAGCTGTGTAGTTACGGTAAATAGATTATTTCAATACATGCAAAGTATTAAAATACACACCAACTATTATTATTACACAGTATTTATATAGCGCTAAAAGGTTTGCTCAGCGCTGTAACTAAGCAACTAACAATATAAAACACAGCACATTCTGCTTTTAAAGTTTTTTTTTTTTAATAACAAACATGTCCTATGTACCAGCTCTCTGTAATGGTTTTGCACAGAGCAGCCACAATCCTAATCTTCTCGGGTCCCCCACCGCCGCTCCTGGCTCCTCCCCCTTGACCAGTGCCTCCAATAACAAGCAGGTTGCAATGGGGGCACTGGTGCGTGCTTGCCCCAGAGCACAACTGTCTATAAGACAAAGGACTGGGGCTCACCCCGCTCTCTCCTCACTGGCTGTGATTGGCAACAGTGGGAGCAAATGGCTCCCGCTGCTGTGTCTCAGCCAATGAGGGAGAGATCTGGCACAGCCGAGGCTCCCGTGCACATTTCTGGATTGAGAGGGGGCTCATGTGAGTATTAAGAGGGCTGGGGGAGCAACACAAAGAAGGTGTATTTTTTTTTAACCTTCATGCATAAAACAGATGAAGGAAAAAAAACCTTCAGCCTTTTCAACTATTTTAAAAGGTAAAACAGTACTTGTAATTCTGAAAAACTGTACTTTGTCCACTACTTTCTTCTAAATTCAAAATCGCATTAAGAAATGCAGATTAGCTAGATTTTGCAGATCTTTTGGTTCGCTGTGTATGTAATCTGAACTGAATTTGCCTGTACCCAGAGATGTATGTGTATGATGTGTTATGAGAGATGATTTTTTTTGGTTTGTTTTTAGGGTTGTTCACACCACACTTTTGCAATCCATATGTGCTTCTGCAGGCACTGTTCTGATGCATTTTTGATGCGTTCTAATGCATTTTCCCCCCTTGTTTTTATATTTTTTTTGTGAAACTTTCCTGGGTCTCGGTCAGCAGCGAAGAGTCATCCCCACTGATGTTACAATGTAAACATAACAGCCAGCATATGACCCCCTCCACAAAAAAAACAGAGCATGGGGGTTCTCTTATTCATACCAGGGCCTTCAGTCTGATATGGATTTTAAGGGGAACCCCATTGCCAGACCCTTATCCAAGCATGCAGCCCCTTCAGGCCACTCACTCGTCTCCTCTCCCCGAATTATACCAGGCCACATGCCCTCAACATGTGAGGGTACTTTGCCAGGGGGGATAAGGGCCTCTTCCCCACAAAATCCATTCCAGACCCTTATTTGAGCGGCCAGATGACCCTCGTCCCCTATGATGTCATGGGGCGGAATGTGTAGCCACAGGGGGCGGAGCCACCCGGTGACGCCATCAAGTGACTGCTCTCCCTATAGAAGAATTCCCAGGAGAAGGAATTAATGTGATCCTGCTGCAGTTAAAGTGTTAAAAACAACAGTAAAATCACTCTGTATATGCAGTAAAGCATGTTTGTTAATCCTCTGCATTGTGTAAAAAGGCCAAATGATCCTGTCTTCTCTGCTCCTCCTCTTGTTCAAATGTCCATACCTTATCTCCTGATAAGACAGACTGAACCGTAGCCATTCTGCACATGCTCAGTTTAGTGTATATTGCTAGAGGGGTTTTTTTGTTTTGTTTTTTTTATTCTTGGGAGAGTGCATGCGATCAGCACAGGGCCAATCAGAACTGTTCAGACAGAGGTCAGGGGTTTTGCATCCTCCTAGAGCAGAAAGAAAACTCCTCCTACAAGCTTTAACATGTGGTATGCTGAAACACTGATAGAAGTCACAAGACTGCTATATACTGCTGCTGAGAAAAGGTATTTAGCAGTTTATATTTACTAAAATAATTGCACTTCCATGTTCTGTGTAATGTGGGAGACCAGATATAGTGAATTCAGGGTCATGGGTTTAGTAACACTTTAAAGAGTAAAGGTCTAATTTACAATGATGTAGACATGCAGAGCTATGATGACATTTCTCCGAAAATTGCTTACATGGAGGTTGATTAGTGCACAATATCATTGCAATTATATCTAATGCACCCATATTAATCTGGAACCCGATTCCTCTCACTTGCATTTATAACAACTGTGATGAGCTCCTCCCCATGCCTTATTTTAGGTTAGACATTAGCGTTTTAAAATGTCCACATAGCAATGCCACCAACTCTCAATATTTACCAGCATATCAAAACAGCAACTCTGGGTCCAATGATTGTGTGCCAATATGACTAATCTAAGAATTGCTGGTACAAATTAACATTTTGGAAGCATAAGACTTCAGTGTAAATGATATAAAACTCTTTTAGAACACTGGAAAATATGTGCACCAATCGTTCCGTTTTCCTCATATTAAAAGAAGAAGAAAAAAAAAAGAACAAATCTTTCCATACATATGAGATCAAAAGGTGTCAGTAGCTCTGCCAATGTTTAGAGGGAAAAAAAAATGGAAGAGCAGAAGCTCTTTTAAGGGTCAAAACGGGAAGTCAGGGACAGATATATGACCACCAAAGTCCTTAAAGCTATTAAGTGATATAACTCTCCAGTATGGGTGTACAGACAGCGTGGGTCTCAACAGACACAAAAGCTTGCATATGTTTGTTAAATAATTTATTAGCCTGTATTTTAGTCCAGTTTTAGTTTTTACCAAATATAGCTTTGCAGTGCACTTAAGTGGTTGTAAAGGCAGACGTTTTTTGTTTTTTAACCTTCATGCAGCCTATGCATTAAGGTAAAAAACTATCTGCATGCAGTTCACCCCCGCCCCCCCCCTTATACTTACCTGAGCCCGATCTCAATCCGGTAATTTGCATGAGAGCAGAGGCTCTCCTGTGTCTCTCGCTCCTCCTTGGCTCAGACACAGCAGCCATTGGCTCCCGCTGCTATCAATCACAGCCAGTGAGGAGGAAGTAGAGGTGGTGCTAAGCTGAACTCTGTGTGTCTTATAAATACCCAAATCCAACTCAGAAGTGAGCATGCAGGTGTGCCAATAAAAGGAAGCAACTTCCTATGGTGGCACACCAAGAAGAATAGGAGCTAGGAGCTCTGGCAGGGAATCCAAGAGGAGAATTGGGTGCAAAACCATTACAGAGCAGGTAGTTATTTAAAAAACAGTAAGGTTTACAATCACTTTAATGTGGCTACCAGCCTGCCTTGCAGGACCAACAAGTTGTATGCTAGCACTGGAAATCTACAAATATTTTTTGCATTTAGTGTTATAGAACACAAGCTTAGGCTGTAGGTACACAGAGAAGGATATGGAGAAAAAGTGAGTTGACTTTAGAAACTTTTTTTTTTTTTTTTTGAAAAATGTGTTTTTTGTAATGACAAATAATACACACAAAAAAGGTGCAAATAATGCCCCCACAGGAGCAAGGCCTTGGCCCAACAGAACAATGTAAATACAAACTAAAACTAAACCCCAGGAGAGGGGAGGATCACTTACCATGCAAGGCCTATGCAGTCACAATTAGATTCAGAGAAAATGAAGGGACCATTTATAAGTGATAGAAGACACAGCAACTGAATACATACACTTCTAAGCCACTCTATCGCCCACCACTGTGGAAGTAGAGGTGTTGTCTAACCAGCAAGACCATACTTTTTGAAATTTACGGGGCACTCTCTATTAGCATAGGTGGTTTGGTATAGAGACAGGTTGGAATTTACTTACTTCCAGAAAAGTGTTGTGGGAGGAGAGGCTTGCTTCCAGAGCACATTGTAATTGCTTTACGGGCATAAAATAACAGTCGATTCAGGAGGGTACGCTTAAGCCACTGTGTGAGCCAATAGGTCCACCAGCCCCAACAGACAATATTTTCGGTCAAGGTGTACTATAATTCGCTTATTTCCAATAATTTGTAGCACCCCCCCCAATATGGCACAATAGCAGGGCAGAACAAGACATATGAAAGAATTCTCCAGTGTTATATGATCAGCGCCAGCAGGCTGAAGGGAGTGAGGGGTTAATCTTGTGAAGGCGGTAAGCCTCATGCAAAATTTTAATTTGTATTAATTTATCTCTGGCAGAGACTAGTGGAGAAAAGGGAGAATCCCAAATCTTGGACCAGTCTTCATCATCCAGACTAGGGATATCCACCCACCATTTCTGTTGTAGAGGGAGGATAACTGAGTTCGCCGCGACTAAGAGGTATCTGTACAGTGCCGCTGTAGGTTTCTCCAGATCTGGCACATGAAGGATAGTCTCTAATTCTGAATAAGAAAGGGATACGGGTTGACCTGGAAATTGACTTCTGAAAGCATTGGAAACCTGAAGGTATCTATAGTAATAATGTGGGGGCAAATTAAATTTAGATTGGAGAATTGGGAAAGGGAGTAAGCAATTATGCCCAATGATGTGCTCTAATAATTTTATTTTATATTTAGTCCAGGCCTAGGGGTTGGGAATTGTAGCAAAGTAGGAGAAGGAAGAGTTCAACCAGAGACGAGTATTTGGGGATAAGGTATTGGAGGGGAGAGACTCCAAACGAAGACAACCTTTCCAGGTCGGAAGTGTGGTACACATAGATGAAGTGAGATTATGGGGTGATTTGAATCCTGTGAACACTAGGGACTAAAGAGCCCCTAGGGATTGCAAAATTGCTGCCTCCAGAATCACAGAAGTATTAGTCAAGTCAGTGCGCTGTCACTAGTTGGGCAGCAAGGAAATATTTGAAACAATCTGGCAAGGCCAGTCCACCTCTATCTTTTGCTCTAGTGAGGGTAGTGGGCTTGTACCTGGGGGGGGGGGGGGCGGGGTAGTCCCCCAAAGAAAAGAGAGGAATAATCTGTTTAGTTTAAGAGACTGATTTGAGGCGCCACTGTGGGGAGTTTCAGAAACAGTATG